GTAGAGTCATGGTACTTGATTTTCGCAGAGGAGAAACTGTATCAGCGGAGAGAAAATCGGAAATTTTGGTCGTAATTGCGTCCTCTGATTCATTCGGCTTGTGAAGACAAAGTAACCCACTGAACCAGGAAGAGGCTTCGGGATCAAGGACGAGACGGGACGTGGAGTGTCATTTTCTCCGTTGGTTTGTTCCACGTTATCTCTGGTCGTCCCTGGAAATGGGCCTTCCAGATTTTCTTAAAGTTAACTTTCGGCCCATGATTAATGTCTAAGAACCTAACTATTGTTGATTACTGTATCTTTTCAGATCCAAAATTTTTGATTTAGGAGGTCCAGAAATTCGAATAAATTGTACTATAAAGAAGCAAATGCTTTGGCTCATCAAACAAGAACCAAATTTGCCCCAAATGTTTGTATTTGTATATCGGATAACTTTATGTAATACTATGTTTTGTGTAATGAATCTAGTGATTTGCTCCACAATTTTTGTCTTCTCATTTCTAATGCCAAACTTGTAAATTAACCAGTTCTTATATAATTTCACCAAAATTTTTTTCTTAAATCACTAAGATATTTTCTTCTGATACATTTGGAGGATAGCTAGTAGCAACAATCAAAACCTGTACATTTGGCTATACGAGAACCACGTTTCCTTTCTTGCAAATCGAAACCTCTTTTTTTTGTCCCGACCTTAAAATTTATGCACTAACATTTCCTTAAGAATAAAATTGAGAATATATATATATATTTTTAATAATTTTGTGTGTTGTACAAGAAATAATTATTTTCGGTTTATTTTAACTTTGTCCTCACACTTGAGATAAAACACCTCTTCGCCGTTGGACATATTTTGCATATCCTTTAATTTCCTCTCCGACTGTAGCAATCTTCGCCGGGACCGGGAAATTATTTTCCGGTAGCCATGCTCCGAGCAGTCTCTTGTTCCCCTTCTCTTAGCTCGGCTTCTCTCTTCTTTCGCTTCTTTCGCCAGTTCCCTCGTTCTTACTTGTCGCTGTCATCGTCTTCGGCTGCTCTCCGTGCCTCCGGTCGAAGTATTCGCCGGACTTCCTCTCCTTCAGTAGCCGGAAGGCGTATCTTGCTCCGACGAGGATTGAGGACTCCCTCCGCCGCAGGTCGCGGTGTCAATCAGCAGTTCTCTAGCCTCTCTGTTCGCGCCGTCGCCACACAACCCGCACAGTCTTATCCCGGTGAGAATCTGCTCTTGTTTTTTGTTTCTTTCTTTCTGATTGAAGTTTGATTCCTGGTGCTTTGATTGTTAGATGATTTGTGCTCTTCAGATTGTTTCTCTTTGATGGACGTCTTTAGTTGATGAATTATTCAATTTCACACCTAAAAGAACTTTCGGAAATGTCTTCTGGGCTTCGTGGCACTGGTTTCATACTTGTGGATAGGTTTTTAATCGTTGATAGGTGTAGAGAATTTCCTTTTCTTATGCTTTTTAATTCAATGGAGCCATGTGTAAGCTGCACACACTGATGCGTCAATTTCTTTTTTGGCTGGGATTTAGATATAGGTCAGGATGAGGCTGAGAAGCTTGGATTTGAAAAGGTGTCGGAAGAATTCATCTCGGAGTGTAAATCAAAGGCGATTCTCTTCAAACACAAGAAAACTGGTTGCGAGGTGATGTCCGTGTCAAATGAGGATGAGAACAAGGTGTTCGGCATTGTTTTCAGGACTCCTCCGTAAGTCTACTACACAGTCTTTTTATATAAAGTGGCTTGAGTATTATTAGGTAACCATCTCCAGCTAGAAAATTGCTTAATGTTAGGTAGGAATTTGGAATCGGTAGCTAGTGCTTCACTCTTCGATTTTAACTAGTCGAAATGGTCAAGTTGATTATACTACTCATCAATGATTGCAGTATTGTTGGTACTTGTAAAGTCTTCTAAACTATGGAGGTCAACAACTTGTCAGATTTCTTAACGCATTGTAACAAGACAATATGAACAATTTTACTTTTGAGTTGATATTGGTCTCACAGGTCAACCTCGTTGTCAAAGGAATCTTAAGCCTCGCAAACTTTGTAATGTAAGCGTCTTTAGATCACAGTTTCGTTGTTAATGCAGGAAGGATTCCACTGGCATTCCGCACATACTGGAACATAGCGTTCTATGTGGATCAAGAAAGTACCCGCTAAAAGAGCCGTTTGTTGAACTACTTAAGGGAAGTTTGCATACTTTTCTAAATGCATTCACATATCCTGATAGGACTTGTTACCCAGTTGCTTCCACAAATACGAAGGTACAATGAGCCAAATATAAAGTATTTCTTTCATTCTCCTCAAGGATCTCAACCTCTTTCTTTCTGTTATTGTTATCTAGTTTTTGTCTGATCACGTTTCATCACTATCTATGGTAGGATTTTTACAATCTTGTCGATGTATATTTGGATGCTGTCTTCTTCCCCAAGTGTGTGGATGATGTTCACACTTTTCAGCAAGAGGGCTGGCACTATGAGCTTAATGATCCCTCAGAAGACATATCTTACAAAGGTTTTTTTAAACGTTTTAGTGTCTTAGTATTGATGTTATGTTTTTGTTTATCTACTACTTCATGCACTAATCATATCTCATCGTTGATGCTTAATTTCAGGTGTTGTTTTTAATGAGATGAAAGGTGTCTATTCACAGCCTGATAATATTTTGGGGCGAATTGCTCAACAGGCAAGTTTTGGGTTTTGTTTACTATAACTATCAGTTTCTCTAGAAATCTCTTTTAAGCGTACACTTTTGTAGTGGGCTCTAGTAGATCATTACCTATTTGTGTGCAGTTGATGTTGAATTATTTTACCAGTTGTTCTTCTTGAATATTTTCTAATCCACCTGATTATATGTGCATTACATACTCATACTGCATTTTTATTAGATTTGAATTTCTATAGATTCCGAATCTGAAGTTCAATCCTATGTTGGTTTTTTAATCTTATTAATCAACTAAATAATGTAGCCATTGTAAATTTAAATCTATCTTGAAACAGTTGCTTGGACACTTGGTCCTGAAATCCTTGTTAATCTGAAATCACATTTCCTCAGTATAGTGATTTTGATGAACTCACTTACTATTGTTTTCACTTTTATTAGGCCTTATCCCCAGAAAATACATATGGTGTTGACAGCGGAGGTGATCCAAAAGATATCCCTAAGCTGACATTTGAGGAATTCAAGGTTCGTTAAAAGTCAAAACTATAATGCTAGTATACTGGTATAGAAGCGGGATGATATGTTTAACATCTGATGCATAGTATATTTCTTACTTCGTTATGGGAAAATTTTAGGAGTTCCACCGGAAGTTTTATCACCCAAGCAATGCCAGGATCTGGTTCTATGGAGATGATGATCCAGTTCATCGCCTCCGTGTCTTGAGTGGTAAAGAATGAGATCTCCTTTTGTCTTATTAGATATAATCTTCTTATTATTTTGAGTTTCCCGTATATATGTTGAATTGAAGTATATCTTATCTCCCCTTTCTTATATGTGCAGAATACTTGGACATGTTTGAAGCAAGTCCATCTCGAGATAGTTCAAAGATTGAAACTCAAAAGTTATTCTCTAAGCCTATCAGACTAGTTGAGAAATATCCTGCTGGTCGAGATGGTGACCTGAAGAAGAAGCATATGTTGTGCGTTAACTGGCTATTGTCTGAGAAGGCCTTGGACTTGGAAACTCAACTTGCACTTGGGTTCTTGGATCATCTTATGCTGGGGACTCCTGCATCACCGTTAAGAAAAATCTTATTGGAAAGCGGTTTAGGAGAAGCTCTTGTGAGTAGTGGGATGTCAGACGAACTTTTGCAGCCCCAGTTCAGTGTTGGTATGAAAGGTGTGTCTGAAGATAATGTTCAAAAGGTTGAAGAGCTAATCATGAATACTCTGAAAAAGTTGTCAGAGGAAGGGTTTGACAATGATGCTGTGGAGGCATCCATGAATACAATTGAGTTTTCTCTGAGGGAAAACAACACAGGATCTTTCCCTCGTGGTTTATCACTTATGCTCCAATCTATCGTAAGTTTATATGCCTTATATGCTTGTGTGTCTGTCTATATAGGTATCAGTCCTTATTTGATTATTGGATGTTTAGGCAAAATGGATCTACGATATGGATCCTTTTGAGCCATTAAAGTATACGGAACCATTGAAGGCCCTGAAAACCAGAATAGCTGAGGAGGGATCCAAGGCTGTCTTTTCCCCACTGATAGAGCAGTTTATTTTGAACAACTCGCATCGTGTTACCATAGAGATGCAGGTATTCTTTTTTACAGATTTCTCATCTATCTAATGTTTCTTTAGTTTTGTGCTAAAAACAAGTTTTGTCAGCCTGATCCCGAAAAAGCCACTCAAGAGGAAGTGGAAGAGAAAAGTATTCTGGAAAAAGTTAAAGCAGGTATGACAGAAGAAGATCTTGCAGAGCTAGCACGTGCTACAGAGGAGCTGAGATTGAAACAAGAGACTCCTGACCCTCCTGAAGCACTGAGATGTGTCCCAAGTTTGAACTTGGGTGACATTCCAAAAGAACCTACTTATGTTCCCACTGAGGTAATCATTTTGGTAGCCTTTTGTACTTCCTTACATTTCCCGAGCTTCCAAACTTTACTGATATGAAGTTTGAAACAATAGATTGGAGATATTAATGGTGTGAAGGTTTTGCGGCATGACCTTTTCACAAATGATATTATCTACGCTGAAGTAGTCTTTGATATGGGTTCGCTGAAACATGAGCTTCTTCCACTAGTACCACTTTTCTGGTATGATTGAGTTTTTTGCCCAAGTTTTTCCAGAAATTCCAAATGCGCATGGTGGACATGCTAAATGAAGAATGTTATTAGATTATCTGCCATGCATTTTCTGTTTAGATATTTGCACCAGACCTCCAAATAGAATCTCTAACCATTTCGGCTGTCTTTGACTTCTAGTGTA